GAACAGTCCATGCTGTCTACATTTTTAAACAAAATTTGGAATGTACACAGTTTCTATGAGACTCAGGTTAATAACTGTTGGTGTAATTTTTCTAATGTGGTTTCTGGATAAATCACATTTTCATAGTTTTAAACATGAACTTTAAACTGCTTGTTTGGACATTTCAATGTGAACAAAATTTAGCAGCAGTAAAACAGATATAGTGATGTAAAACAAGTTTGGCATAAAAAGAATCATTGTTCTTTTTTAAGAATTGAGCTTGCTATGAAGAAACCTGTTTTCAAGTATTTTGCAGAGTGGGATAACTATGTCATCTGTTTATTGAATTACATGTTATGCAGTGCTAAGAACCTAAGCTTATTACTTATATTATCTATTCCATTTAATCCCCACATTACATGATTATTAGCACTCAAATTTTAAAGACTTACAAATTGGGGGTGAAAAAAATCAACAATTTGCCCGTGGTCACACAGCTGGTAGAATGCATGGTTGTGGTTAATAAATCAGCCTTAATCAGGTCTGTGGATTTGTGTTCTTGTATGTAGGCATACCTCATTTTATTGTGCTTTGCTTTATTGTGCTTTGCAAATGGAAGTTTTGTGACAGCTCTGCACTGAGCAAGTCCATCATTGTCGTTTTCACACACAGCATGTGCTCACTTCATGACTCTGAGTCACATTTTCATAACTGTCACCATATTTCAAACTTTTTCATTATAATATCTTTTATGGTGATCTGTGATCAGTGATCTTTGATGTTTCCACTGTAATTGTTTTGGGGCATCATGAACTGCCCCAATATAAGAGGGCAAACTTAACTGATCAATGTTGTGTGTTCTGAATACTCCACTGCCTGGGTGTTTCCCTGTCTCTCTCCCTCTCCTTGGGCTCCCAATCCCCCAAAATACAATACTGAAATGAGGCTAAGTAATAACCTATAATTGCCTCTAAGTGTTCACATGAAAGGAAGAGTCACATGTCTCTCAGTTCAAATCAAAGGCTAGAAAGAATGAAGCACAGTAAGGAAGACATGTCAAAAGCCAAGACAAGTTGAAAGCCAGGCCTCTTGCGTCCAACAGTTAGCCAAATTGTGAATGCAAAGGAAAAGCTCTTGAAGCAAGTTAAAAGTGTTATTCCAGTGAATACACAAATGATAAGAAAGAAAAACAGCCTTGCTGCTGATACAGACAAACTTTTAGAGGTCTGGATAGAAGATCAAACTGACTACAACATTTCTTTAAGCCAAAGCTGAATCCAGAGAAAGGCCCTAACTCTCTTCAGTTCTATGAAGGCTGAGAGAGGTGAGGAAGCTGCAGAAGAAAGATTTGACACTAGCAGAACAAGTTGATTCATGAGGTTTAAGGAAAGACGCTGTCTACACAACATAGAAGTGCAAAGTGAAGCAGCAAACACTGATGGAGAAGCTGCAGCAAGTTATCTAGAAGCTCTAGCTAAAATCACTGATGAAGGTGGCTATGCTAAATAACAGATTTTCAGTGTAGATAAAAGAGCCTTCAATTGGAAGAAGATGCCACCTGGGATTTTCATAACTAGAGGAAAAGTCAATGCCCCACTTCAAAGCTTCAGAGGAGCCACTGATTCTCTTGTTAGAGACTAATGCAGTTGGTGACTTTAGGTTCCAGCCAATGTTCATTTACCGTTCAAATAATTCAGCGCCCTTAAGAATTATGCTACATCTACTCTGCCTGTGCTCTGTAAATGCAACAACAAAGCCTAGAGGACATCTGTTTGCAGCATGATTTGCTGACTATTTTAAGCTTGCTGTTGAGACCTACTGCTCAGAAAAAAAAAAAAAAAATACTCCTTTGGAAAAATTACTACTCACTAACAGTATACCTAGTCACCCAAGAGCTGTGATTAAGATATACAAGGAGATTCATGCTGTTCTTATGCTTGGTAACATAACATTCCTTCTGTAGCCCATGGATCAACTCTTCTAACTTGAAAAGCCCATCGACTTTCAAGACTACTTAAGAAATGTATTTTGTAAGGCTGTATCTGCCTTACAAATAGTATCTGCCTTACAAATACAGATAGCGAATCCTCTGACGGATCTGGGCAAAGTAAATTGAAAACCAATTTACTTTGTCAAGGCAATTGATGTGGCAATATTCTTTGCTGTCTTATTTCAATATATTGCCATAGCCATCCCAATCTTCAGCCACAATAAAGGGTCTTGCCTGGATGTTGATGGCTGCTGACTGGTCACCATGACTGTGACCAGTCAGCAACCATCAACATCCAGGTAAGACGTTTCACTATCAAAAGGAGGCCAGCATGTGTGGCTTATGCCTGTAATCCCGGTACTTTGGGAGGCCAAGGCAGGCAGATCGCTTGAGCCCAGGAGTTCAAGACCAGCCTGGGCAACAGGGCAAAACCCTGTCTCTACAAAAAAATATAACAATTAGCCTGGTGTGATAGTGCATGCCTGTATTCCCAGCTATTTCAGAGGCTGAGGTGGGAGAATCACTTGAGTCCAGGAAGTCAAGGCAGCAGTGAGCCATGATTGCACCACTGGACTCCAGCTTGGAAGAGAGAGTGAGACCCTGCCCACCAACCCCCCAAAGCATCCCCCCATTTTTAGAAAACTATTTTAAAATTAAGAAATGTGCATTGTTTTTTAAAGACATAATGCAATTACACACTGAATAGATTATAGTATAGTGCAAAGATAACTTGTATATGCACTGGGAAAAAAGTGTGTGGCTTGCTTTATTGTGGTAGTCTGGAACCAAACATGCAATATCTCTGAGGTATTCCTGTAGCATTCTTATAAATCATACCTGCTATGTTCAACTGCCTTTCTAACCTCTAAAAGTTTTTACCAGTATAACTTTCCCTAAAAATGTGGAAAATAAATGAAATAGCACCTGGGATTAGAATTATAAATATCTATGGCTTATTAATTACTTGGTCACAAACAGAATGAAATTAATAAAGAACAAAGGGCTTAATTCTTAATAAGTTAAAGCTATATACCATTGATACAGTCTGATGGTTAAAGAATAACTGAAGCTCAAAACAAGATGTATGTGGATGAGTTAGAAAAGGAAACGTAAGAAAAAGAACTTTGATAGTATAGTCAGTCTTCTGTATTCATAAGTTTTGCATCTAAAAATTCAAGCAATCTTGGATCAAATATATTCAGAAAAAAGACAATAAAAATAACATGACAACAATAAAAAATAATCAGAGTAAAAAAAATAACAGCTATTTACCTAGAATTTAGGTTGTAGTCGGTAGTATAAGTAATATAGAGATGATTTAAAGTATAAGGAGGATATGTGTGAGTTATATGCAAAAACTGCACCGTTTCATATAAGGGACTTGAACATCCCTGGCTTTTGGTATTCACAGGGGGTTCTGGAGTCAATCCCCTGCAGATACTGAGGGAGAAATGTACACTGCTTATGAGGAAGCATGGTTTATAGGAATATTTCTACTAATTAAACAATGGTCAATTTTTAGTAGTTTTAAAAAATACTTAAGTGAATTATACCAAACTAAGAAAATATTTAAATAATATTTAAAATGCAATTCTAGGAAAATGAGTTTTAGAAACAGTTGATGAAAGTGCATAAAGGGTTATAAGAAAGAATTTTCTGCTTCTGAGAGCTGTTATACTAAATTGGCTTGCTGAAGGAAGCAGTGGAATCTATTTCTTTGAAGATCCTTACAAATAGAAGGCATACATTATCAGCAATTCAGAAAGGTTTAGGTGTGTCTCTGTCAGAAAACAGCCAGTGGATACAACCACCTCATGGTTCCATAAACTCTGGTGACTGCATAATAATACTATTGTTATAATTGTGAGGCAAGGGCAACACAGCTGCTTTTTCTTTGGTGATCAGGATTTGCTGTCCAAAAAGTTGCAGAATAAATTGAATGTAATTAGACGAAATTTTCCCCAACAGAAAAGCAAGAATTAATTCTGACTCTAGTTACTGAAAGAAAACTCAGAATCTCTACACTGGGATTTTTAAACATTTATCTTCTTCTTTATCTAGAGAAAGCATTCCTCTTATGTGAAACTTAAAAGCAGACATGTTTTTATGGATGACCTTAGGCTGATGAGTTGAATTAACACTAAATAAAAAATTCTAAGCATATATATAGTTTCTTTGTATAAAATCCCTTGAAAGATTACATTTTAGAGAATTCTACTTAAATTTTTTAAAGTGTATATTTTTATTTCACTTTATTTTCATCTACTTAAGTCTTTATTTTTCATGAATGAAGAAAAGCCAGATTCCTTATACATTTAAAAATATATATGGTGAATTTCTTTCCAAGCAAGCTTCTCTTTTAAAGGTAATGTAATTAATTTGAAATTTGAAGGTGGCATTGTGATCCACAATCCTTGCCCAAATGCTCTTTTGGGAGCAATAGGAGCTGTCATAGAATTAACTAAAAGTTCAAGTAAATATTTTGATACGGAATTTTCACAAAATGTAAAGCTGTGAGAGTTGTAAAGGGATGGCTTCCTAAGATTTTGGAGCACTTTATATTAGCTGTTAAAGAAAAGGGAGGAAATATGCTGGGATACCTTTAACTACATAAAATTCACAAATAGTATGAACAACTCTAAAATAAATAGAAAATAATTAAAATAATTCTAATTTCTAATTTTATTTAGTACTTACAGTTATATATGTGTCCAAGATAGATGTGAAAAAGTCCTGTTTTCAAATATAGGTACTTAATTTCGGTTATTTAAGTCCTTGTTCTGTATTTAAGGATTTAAGATAGTCTTATTCTATCTGTTACTCTGGAGGTAAGGGCAAATGCATCTTAATATAACTTCTGACATGCATGGGTGTTAAAAGAGGAAAAAAAGAAAATAAAGAAATAGCTATGCATACATAAATTCCTACAGTAAATAATGCTTTTCATTTTAAACTAAAACCCAATATAATTCTACTTGCTTCTACATGATTAATAACAGAAAACTCATAGTAGAAATATTTCATTGCTTGCCTCCAAAAAATTGTTGACATCCTCTGTCGCCATCTGCCATGGTGGTCATTCCTCTGTGTTTGATGGAACTAAAGAAGTATTAGGGTTCTATGGATTGATGAAGGGAAATAGTCTGTGCTCTTGTTGATTTCTGGTATTTATTTTCTTGGTCCTGTTAAAAAGGATACCAGGGTAAATTTACCAATTTTGAACACATCCAGTTATTCCGTATTCTTTAACATTTACATTTAAGGAAGTTTTGAGATTTTTATGCAGTCTCATTTAAAAATCATAGAATTGTAGAATCAGAAAGGGCTTGTTAAATTTAAGACTGAAGATTCAAACAGAGCTATTATCAATCAGGTAATTCAATCCACTTTACAGTATAGAAAACCAAAATCAAAAGAGGTTAAATAAACCATGTTATAGTCAGTTAGTGGCAGATCGGACATAAGAAAACAGTTCTTTTTACTCCAAGTTTGGGGGCTCTTTCCTCGAGCTGGGGCTCTTTCCCTCTTTGAGAAAAGAGAGGCAGGCTGGTAAGAGCACTATAATGACCAAGCTCATTTCTTAGCCCTAATACTTAGGGAAAAATCTAGAACAAAACCCAAAAAACATGATAGCATAATATTTAGATTATCAATTCATAGCACACCATTCACTCAACAGATACCTAAAAGATATTATTTTGTTAAAATATAACTAGGACATTATTTTATTAAACAGTATCTATACAGTGTTGGCAACAGAGTGAGACTATGTCTCTACCAAAAAAAGAAAAAAAAAAAGAAAGAAAGAAACAAAAAGTGAGATATGGTGTTGCATGCCTATAGTCCTAGCTACTCGGGAGCCTCAACCAGGACAATCACTTGAGGCCAGGAGGTCGAAGCTGCAATGTACTACAATCATGCCATTGCACTCCAACTAGGTAACAGCGAGATGCTTTCTTGAAAAAAAAAAAGTATCCATATGATCACACATCATCAAATTTCTGAGTTTTATCCATTGTCATGATCACTTATCTTTTCCAATCCTCACCACTGCAAACATCTACTACTCTACTATCCACAAAAGTCGAGTGATTTTTAAAAATTATCTATAGAGAAACAGAATGACAGTTTTAAAAAGAAAACTGAATTTCAGACTCCCTTGTTCAAAATTCCCCAAAGACTTTCCATAACATCTAAGGCAAGGACTTGGATCCTGGTTACTTTTCTGAAAGCCTATCTGATGACTCTTCCTCTTGTTTCGTATTCTATAGCCTCAGTGGCTTTCATGTTCTCCACACATGCTGAGCACGCTCTTGATTTAAGTCTTTGACCTTTGTCTTCTCTTAGATTGGAATGTCTCTTTAGATAACCACATGTCCGTTCCCACTGACTAAAACACTCTTTTTCCTTGAAAGTTCCTGGAATGTTTCTGGATCTACTCAAATATCACTTCCCAGAGAGGATTCTCTCACCAGTCTAGCTAAAAAACCTCCGCCTCTGACTTTTACCCTTTTCGCCATTGGCCCTTATTCTCTATATCCATACCTGCTTCATTTCCATTCACAGTATTTATAATTCCTAGATATTATGTAGCCCCACCATCCCGGTGAAGCCAGATGTCATTTGGAATTAAGTATTTTTGGTATTTTTAAGGTAATATAGTACATGTACTATAATTATGCAACATCTCCTACTCTTCTCCCCTCCCATCCAAGAGGTCTGGGAAGGCACCCTGAAGTCAATTATGTTAATAACCTTGCAGTAAAACATATATTCATTCTAAGTGAGATTTTTTAAAGACTATAACTAGGGGCAGAGCAAGATGGCAGAATAGAAATCTCCACTGATTGTCCCCCCAGGCAAGGACATCAATTCAATAACTATCAAAAAAAGTACATTCATAAGGCTCAAAAATCAGGTGAGCACTCACAGTACGTGGCTTTAACTTCCTATCACTACATGAGGCACTGAACAGGAAAAACAGTCTCAAATAGCTGATGCCACCTCTCCGGCAGCAGAAGCATGGTGTGGAGAATGTTTGGTGTGCTGGAGAGAGAGAGAGTGTAGCATTTATGAGGCACTGAGCTCAGTGCTGCCCTATTATAACAGAAAACAAAACTAGACCAAACGCAGCTGATGTCCATCCAAAAAGCGAGCATTTTAACTGGGCCTGTTTAGCCAGAAAGGAATCGCTGATCCCAGTGGTCCAAACTTGAGTCCCTGTAAGACTCATCAGTGCAGGCTAAAGTGTTCTGGAGCCCAAAATAAACTGGAAAGGCAGGCTAGGCCATAAGGACTTCAACTCCAAGGCAAGTCCTAGTGTTGAACTTGGGCCAGAGACAGTGGACTGGGGGAGCGGGGGAATGTGACTTACTGAGACACCAGCCAGGGTGGGGAAGGGAGTATTGGCATCACCTCCTCCTAACCACAGGCTGTACAGCTCGTGGCTCTGAAAAAGACCCATCCACTCCACTTGAGGAAAGAAGACGGAAGACTAAAGAGGACTCTGTCTGGGATCTTGGATACCAGCTCAGCCACAGTTGGGTAGGGCACCAGTTAGAGTTATGAAGACCCCTTTCCAGATCCTGCTACTGAATGACATTTCTAGATACAACCTGGGCCAGAAGGCAACCTGCTGCCTTGAAGGAAAGAACCCAGTCCTGGTAGCATTCATCACCTTCTAACTGAAGAGACCTTGGGCCCTAAACAACCAGCAGTAATACCCAGGAACTACATTGAGGGCCTTGGGTGAGACTGTGAGACTTGTTGGCTTCAGGTGAGACTAAGCACATTCCTAGTTGTGGTGGGTACAGGGTGAGACTCCTTCTACTTGAGAAAATCAAAGGGAAAAGCAGAGGGAACTTTGTTTTGTACCTTAGTTACCAGCTCAGTCACAGGGGTTAGAGCACCAAGCAGGTTCTTGGGGTCCTAGGTTCCAGGACTTGGCTATTGAATAGAATTTCTGGACCTGCTCTGGGTCAGAGGAGAACGTGCTGCTCTGAAGGGTGAGTCTCAGGCCAGGCAGCATTCAACACAAGCTGACTGAAGAGCCCTTGGGCCTTAAGGGAACATCAGTGGTACAGTAATCCGCATGGAGATGTGGTAGCGGGAGCCACAGGGTGAGGCTCCTCTGCTTTTAAGTAGGGGAGGGAAGAGTGGGGAGGACTACGTCTTTTGAGTTCAGTGCCAGCTCAGCCACAGTACAATAGGATACCAGGTAGACTTCTAAGATTTTTTACTCTAGTCCCTGGCTCCTGAATGGCATCTCTGGACATGCCCGGGGCCTGGGGGAACCTGCCACTCTGAAGTGAAGGATACAGGCATGGCTGGCTTTGTCACCTGCGGATTGTAGAGCACCAAAGCCTTGAGTGAACACAGGCTGAAGCCAGGAAGTGGTTACAGCAAGCCTCAGGTGAGACCCAGTGCTGTGCTGGCTTCAGGTCTGACCCAGTACAGTTTTAGTGGTGATGGCCACAGAGGTGCTTATGTCACAATATCCCCAGCTCCAGATGGCCTAGAACAGAGAAAGAGGCAGAGACAGAGACGGGGGTGGAGTGGGACAGACGGACTCCATTCATTTGGAGAACGTGAGGAAAGAGAACAAGAATCTATGCCTGGTAATCCAGAGAATCCTTCTGGATGTTGTCCAGGACCATCAAGGCAGTACCTTTATGAGTCTGTAAGAACTACAGCATTACCAGGCTTCGGGTGCCCCTAAAGCAGATACAGCTTAGATCACAACACTTAGATCACAACAATCAAGTCCTTCTGAATATCTGGAAAGCCTTCCCAAGAAGGACAGCTATAAGTAATTCCAGAAAGTGAAGACTACAGTAAATACTTAACACTTAAATGCCCAGACATCAAAGAACATCTACTAGGATCAACACCATCCTGAAAAACATGACCTCACCAAATGAAATAAATAAGGCACCAGGGACCAACTCTCGAGAAACAGAGATATGTGACTTCTCAGACAGATAATTCAAAATAGCTGTGTTGAGGAAACTCAAAGAAATTCAAGATAATATAGAGAAGGAATTCAGAATTCTATCTGATTAACTTAACAAAGAGATTGAAATAATTAGAAAGAATCAAGCAGAAATTCTGGAGCTAAAAATGCAATTTGCCATGCTGAAAAATGCATCAAAGTCCTTTAATAGCAGACGTAATGAAGCAGAATAAAGAATTAGTGAGCGTGAAGACAGGCTGTTCGAAAATACACAGAAAAGACAAAAAAAACAAAAAAAAAAAGAAAAAGAAAAGAAAAAACAATGAAGCAAAGCAGGCTAGAAAATAGCCTCAAAATGGCAAATCTAAGAGTTATTGGCCTTAAAGAGAAGGTACAGAAAGAGATAGGGGCAGAAAGTTTACTCAAATGAATAATAACAGAGAATTTCCCAAACCTATAAAAGATATCAATATCCAAGTACAAGAAGGTTATAGAACACCATGCAGAATTAACCCAAAGAAGACTACCCCAAAGCATTTAATAATTGAACTCCCACAGGTCAAGGATAAAGAAAGGATCCTAACCAGCAAGAAAAAAGAAATTGCATACAATGGAGCTCCAATATGTCTGACAGCAGAATTTTCAGTGCAAACTTCACAGGCCAGGAGAGAAGAATGGCATGACATAATTAAAGTGCTGAAGGAAAAAACTTTTACTTTAGAATAGTATATTCGGTGAAAATATCCTTCAAACATGAATAAGAAATAAAGGCTTTCCCAGACAAACAAAAGCTTAGGGATTTTATCAACACCAGAACTTTCTGCAAGAAATGCTAAAGGGAGTATTTTGATCAGAAAGAAAAGGACATTAATAAGCAATATATCATGGAAAGTACAAAACTCACTGGTAATAGCAAGTACACAGGAAAACACAGAATATCATAACACTGTAACTGTGGTGTGTAGACTACTCCTATCTTAAATAGAAAAACTAAACAATTAACCAATAGAAAACCATAACAAGTTTTCAAGACATAAACAATACAATAAAATATAAATGGAAACAACAAAAAGTCAAAACAACAAGGAGATGAAGTTAAGGCATAGAGTGTTTATCAGTTTTTTGTTTGTTTATGTAAACAGTGTTAAGTTGTTATCAGCTTAAAATAATGGGTTATAAGGTAGTATTTGCAAACCTCATGGTAACCTCAATCCAAAAAAACATACAACT